AAAAAAGATGGTATTGGACAATATAGAGATGGGTGTATTCTGGAAGAAATGCTTGAATTGGACATCTCAGAGACATTGCTAGCTCAGAAAATGTCACAGTAGGGATACTGGCTGGAATCTATTGGGCAGCTATGAATGTGTAACCTAGAATTATGCACTCATGACTGTCTTGTATTCATGATCCTCTGTAGCTTCTAGTTTAGGGACACATAGGGACTGTGAAAGTCCCTCAATCCTCACTTACCATGCAGCAACCACTGTAATCAATGGGGTCAATTGGGAAGCTGCTGGCTGGTGTAACAATCTCTGGCACTAAGGAGATTATCACATGGGGAAAAATTAGAAGTTTAAAATGGTAAGAACCCGCGATTAACTCACAATTGTGCAAATATTTTTCATGAAGAATCCAAGATTAACCTGCACTTTCATGAAAATGCAGGAATGGTTTCACACAACAGGACCAAGTGTGCCTCCATCCAGGTAATGATTAAAGTACGTGCATCCCGCAAAAGAAAGCAATACGCAAATGATTTTCACACGATGAACCCTGGCTATGGTGTGTGTGTGTGTGTGTGTGTGTGTGTATGGGGGGGGGAGATGTGTCTCAGTAGCTGTTTCTTTCAGAGCTGTGGCTAGGAGGGAGGGCTGTCCCCTTTGAAGGATTTTGGACTTCAACTCCCAGAAGCCTCTGCCATGTTGAAGTTCAAAATCCCTTAAAAAGGACAGTTTGTTGGTCGCTGCTGGCTCCAACAGACTGGGAGGCAAGAATTTATTCCCTCTCCTCTCCTCTCCTCTCCTCTCCTCTCCTCTCCCTCTCTCTCTCTGCCCTTGCATCAGCTGTTTGTTTTAAGAGCTCTGGCTATGAAGAAGGGCAGGGCAAAGCAGCACTGGAAGCAAACTTCTTTCTCTCTCTTGGTCCTGTTGTGTTCCTGACTTCACTCAATAGCTACTCCTTTAAGAGTCCTGGCTGGAGGAGGAGAGACATTCACAGAGAGAGAGAGAGGCTTTGGGAGGAAGAAGCAAGCTTTTTCTCTTGTGTGTGTCTGCCTTTGCCTCAGCAGCTATTCCTTTATGAGCCCTGGCTATTATTCCTAAGGAACCATGACAACAAGAACAGAAATGAGGAGAATACTGCAAATGGCTTTCACACTACATTAATTGTGCAAAAAAAGTGAATTCATGAATGACATGGAAATGAAATCACAGTATTTTCCCAAAAATGACTATTTACTGGTTCATGTCACTTTCTTGTCAGATTCTAGGTGGTTTGCATACAATGTCATGTAAAAACCATTTCTGAAATTGCTGCTAATATATTGCATAAGCACAGGTTCTTACCAGTTTAAACTTCCAGTCTTCCCCGTGTGATAAACTCCTAAGGGGAATTGCAACCTGGGGAGCCTGTTTCTGCCTGTCATATGAGAGATCGTTCACAGGAGGGGCCATGAGGCAGCTTCTTCCTGATTGACAGGAAAAGAGACCTGTTGCCTGGTAAGTGGGGAGTGTGGGGTTGAGATCAGGATTTACTGCATAGTGCTATAACTATATTGCTTGCAGATTTGTAATTCCCCAACAGAATTCCAGACATAATTCTTTGCTAATTCTCTTGAAGACAGTAGTGAGCAATTTTATCAGTTTTCTTTCCACTGCAACATAGCCTCCAAAAACTATATAGGGAAGGTATCAGGATAGTGTTGAGGTGGAGTCCCAACTCCACCTCCAGACCAGCCCTTTAGGCTGGTTTGCAACACCCCTTAGTTCATTCTCTTTCTTCTGATATGTCCTAAGACAGGACATTCCTCCAGATGGTGTTGGACTGAAACTCCCAGGATTCCAAGATCCTTGTTGCCCACATAATAATCCCAATGGAGGAGAAAGCTGATGAAGATGGCTTTTGCTGTCATCCCTCAGCTGCTGCTATGCCTTGCTCAAAATAGGGCTTATGCTGATATAAGTTTGATTTCTGCCAGTGTTAAGAGACCAATAGGATTTCAACCTCAGACTACAGGGAGTAACAGTCCAACATCTGATGGATACACAAATCCTACCACCTAGTCTAATTGTTGGTCCCAAGTAGAGTACATCAACTGAACCCATTTCTAAATGTAAATCTCATTGATTTAATGGATCTTCTTTAGTTGGAACTAGCCATGGGATTTAGTCCTAAATAGAAGCTAGTTTTAAAGACCAATGAGACATCTATTTTAAAAGCATTAATTATCTTCCAATTGTCACAGTTTGGTAGGAACAGTCTTAATTAATAATCTGCCATCCTATTTTTGAGCTGCTTCTAAAATATCTCAGTTTCTTTTTCTTGTTCTCATCTTCCTTCTTTGTCCTTCAGTTGCTACAAATTGAGTTCAAAGTGCAAAGGTAGTTTGCATTCAGTTAAAGTGCAAAGGTAGTTTGCAGTCAGAAGAGGAGAGGAGAAGAAAAGAGAAGAGAGATTTCCCTAGCAACAGTATATTTGGGTCTGGCTTGGTTTTGAATGAGCAGTTAAGACTCCAGTACAAAAGACTTGGTGGAGATGAAAATTGCTCAAACTAATTTGATCATCACAGCTGCCTGTATTTTTGGACTTTCTTTGGATCCTGGCCATTGTGATGGTTGCAGTGAGCACCTTTCAATTCAACATTTACTATTATGTCTTGCAGCCCAGTTGTCATTAGGACACCTTGGGGAATCATTGCACAAGGAAGTACTGGATACCTACTTGCATAACTTCAGAATATTTTTTCCCCATTATTATAAGTCATCAAGAAAACTGCAGCCAATATGTGCTCATTAACTTTTAGCATATGCCTGAACTGAGCAGCTATAGATAATCATTATTCCATATCTAGAAGGGAGCTTCATTAAATTTGGCCAGATGGGCACAGAGACATATAACCTCAGGAGCTTTCCTAAACTATATGCACCAACCTGCCTACAAACCCTAAAAACCAGTCTTAGGAGCTTCTGTACATTTCTTTTCAGTGTCCAGCCATTACACCAAGAAATGGGAATACATGTCCCACTCAAATATTGTTAGACTCCAACTCCAATTAGTAATGAGGGATGGTAGGAACTGTAGTTTAACAAGAGCTGCAGGCCACTATTTCTCCATATCTGAATTTAACAAACAACAATCAATAAAGATAGTTTAAATCACACTGATAAATGGAAGTGCTTTTCAGCAATAATTCCAAAAATGAAACTATAAAGTCATTTAAAGCTCATTTCTATTTTTCAGCTGTGATATGCAAAAATTCATTTTACTCTACATGCCATATTTAATTTAACAATAAATGTGAACTCTGCTCTTCCATGCAAGAAAAGATTAACTGTTTGGCATGGTTGTATGGAACACCAGACTGGGACTAAGGTTATTATAACATTGTTGAGGGACATCTCCCAATGGAGGAAATCCTTTTTTTTTTTTTTTGTTATCTTCTGCTGATCTTCCTTAAAATCTACAAATAGAACAAAACATAATGATTGGTTGCTTATCATGGAATAGAAACAGTAGTCACTAAATCTACTTCAGAGATTCCTAACTTCTTCCTTTATGCACACTCCTACATTGTAATTGAAAGTTTTTGGATATCTTGGTGAATAAACTGTTCTAAATATTTTTGCCTATGACAGTGTTCAATCTTCCCTGTCTGGTGCTTATGCTATCAATAAACATTTTCATGATACAGATTGCACCTGACATTTAATACCTTAATTTTCTGAGAAACAAAGTGAAGGACTCTATCATTGTGACTTTTCTCACTCTTCTCTTTGGTTCATCCTTCTCACTTCCCTCTACATATTAGGGACTCTCTGCCCAATCAATGTAGGCTCTTTGTAGACACTTCATGGATCATAGGCTGAGACCACTTTAATGAACCCATAAAATATTGACCAGAGCAAGAAACTGAATTATAATGTTTACTACAATGATATCGGTTAGAGTTGGCATAGCTCTGCCATTGCTGTTGCATGCTCATCTGGCCTGGACATCATAGCTAACAGCGAGGAATGCTGGGCGTTTCCAACAATATCTGAAAGGCTGCATGATTCTTACTCCTGTAATAGAAGATTCACAGAATAGATCCTTGTCCATTGAAAGAAAAAAGAAGGTACATGAGTATAGAAGAGGACAGTCCCACAGAATATAGTACTAGGTTCATCTGTAGTTTATTTAAACCATATATGAATCTATGATTTAGTACCTTTTTAATCACCTTATAATGCAATGACATTTTAGCACAATCCTATACATTTCTACTTGGAAGTAAGCTCCATCAAATTAAACAGGCTTACTTATAGGTAAGGGTACATTAGTTTTTTTTTTTTTTATGAATGTGTGGTTAGCCAATAACTGATCAATGAAAATAAGATATAAAGAACACAAGATAAAATATAAAAGCTATATGCACTGGTTGCTCAGGTCCTTGAACTTGGAATTTACTTCAGTTAATATGTGAAATATCTTTACAGCAGCTAAGACAATAAATTGCTTTGTAGCAAGGTTCCATGTTATAAATATTTTATTAAGCATTAATAAATAATTTATTCAAGTTACAAGTGTATTAAATATAAAAATGTGTTCAATAGAATGTTGAAGCACATGGGATCTCAAACCCTGATTTCATCATGGTAGGTGAGAGAAACAACTCTTTAAAATGTGTCCTCCCAGGAAATCTTTATAAAAATAAGAGATTGTTTTACTGGCTGCAAGAATCTTAACAACAAGGCAAAGGGAAAGCCACCAAAGGAGCTGCTGATTGTATGGACAGCAGGACTTTAGCACATCACTTTCAAAAAAGAAAAAAGATTGTTTCTTGCTATTAGAACAAGTGACCATGTTCTTCATTTCTAGGAAAATCTTTCCAGTTTGAGAATGGTTATCAGATCAAGCAAAACTGTTATATCCTGCACAGGATAAACAGTATGGAGATGGCATATTTTATGCTGTAAGCTTAATATTGTGTTGTGTTTATTAGTATTTAAACTAATAATAAGTTTTTAGAGCTAGTGTGGCGTAGTGGTTTGACAGTTGGACTGTGACTCTGGAGATCAGGGTTCAATTCCCAGCTCAGCCATGAAATCTACTGGGTGACCTTGGGCAAGTCACACTCTCTCAGCCTCAGGGGAAGGCAATGGCAAACCTCATCTGAACAAATTTTGCCAAGAAAACCCCATGATATGTTCACTTTAGGGTCACCATAAATTGGAAATGACTTGAACACACACACAATCTTAAACCTGCTCAGAATAAGACCCTTTCTTTAGCTATGTTATAAAGATGATTTATAGCTGTTCAATCCAGACACTTGCTTCAAGTTACCATTACAGATTGGCTGGAATTTTCTTGATAACTTAGAATAATGCAAATAATGTTATGCAAGTAGGTATCCAGTACTTCCTTCTGCAATGATTTCCCCAGGTTGCCCAATGCCAAGTGGATGGTAGCCAAGCACAGCCCTGCCACCCCAATCCAGTGACTGGATGTGATGGAGAAGGAATGCCAAGAAAGCTTCCTGTTACTGCTACCTGGCTGGCTGCCTTCACCCTCTTGGCCTGCTATGCCAATGCAGCTTTCTCTTCTTCCTTTCAACTGCCAGTCAGTGTCAAACCAGTAGACCCAATTTGCGGTAAGCTTCTTCTGGACTATCTATCACCCCCCTACAAAAAACCCACAGCCACTACTCTTCCTGGACCTTAATTTATTTCTCCCTCTTTGCAAGCTACAAATAGGATTCTGGTCATTATCTGTTACTATACTGTTTTCAGACATGATTAGTGTGACTCAAAACAGCCAGACTCTGCTTCAGGGCTGGATGACTTCAGCAGGCTTGTGTGTATGTGTGTATGTGTGTGTGTGTATTTTCTGCCACAGTGATCCATCAGGGGGCTGAGCTGACTTCCAAAAATGACAAAATGAAGCAAAAACAAACAAACAAACAAACAAACAAACAAACAAACCAGTCTTTGCAGCTGGAGGCATTGGTATGAGGGAGATTTGGGAGGGTTGGGGATAGGGATGGCAGCCTTGGGAAGCTGCCCTACAGAGTCTTTGCTCTTGTCATCATCTCTGAACTAATTACAATTCAACTGCTCTGTCATACCAAGGTGTTTCAGGGTAGCTATATGATTGACTCCATAGATCTAGAATTATTATTATTATTATTATTATTATTATTATTATTATTATTATTTGTATCCCACCCCTCTGTCAAACAATTGGGATGGCTTACAGCAGTTAAAATTCCATACAATATATTAAAATACAATCCAAAAAATCCCAAAACCCTCCCACCCCTTAAAAAATATTAAACAAATATTACCATTAAAACATGTTAAAATAAACACATCTCCTTAAACAAACAAACAATAACAGACAAAACAGTGATTGCAGCCAAAGGTGGGAGAGGAAGAGATGAGAAGACTCCTGAGGCCAGGAAATCTAGTCAGAAAAGGCCTGCTGGAAGA